AAGATGGAAATGTGCCATAGAAAAAGATAGCAGAGAATTTACCTACGACACATTATACGAAGGACTAGATCACCCATTAGATTTTACCTGTTAAACTTTTTAGGTTTAAGATTAGCTATATAAGGAAAATGAATTGTTAAATAAAGTTAGTTCGTTGGTAAGGCTCAATCGGTCCATTTGTGAAGTCCGAACAATCCCTTTCGTAAGTATTTTCATCAGGTATCGTTTCAATTCATTCGTCGAAGAAGCACAAGCCTACGTTTTAGTGAGGTCTTAGCCTTTGAGTTGAATTGAAGGTTGATCTTGATGCTAAGATACTTTTTTCAGTTTGTTAAAGTTTCTAATTATTCAGATATAGGAATAAGCTCTCACTTTGGTAGAGCAACTATCCTATAAGTTTAAAAGAACTTTAATATAATTGAGAATTGAAAGTTGTGTCTAAGCAATCCTGACGGATTGAGCGCACCATTAAAAAACCGTTCGCCGCGAACGTCTATCCTTCGCGTTCATTTGTTCAATAAGTGCTGAACAAAGTTTTTCAAAGTCTTCGCGTCGCGAACAGCTATAGTACAGCAAACCTATCTCAAATAAACCACGTAGTCAACGAAAACAACCGTAGCCTGGACCTCTGCTTCGTTAGCGTTCAGGACACCGCTCCTTTCATCTCCACGGCACCTTCTCCACTAGTAAAGCAAGTACATCATCACCCTCCCTTGGTTGTCACTATTGCTGACAGTCACGATCGGGTCTTTCACGACATTTCCACAACCGTGTCATACGATTTCCGGAAAGCCGATCACCGTAGTATCAACAATCAATACGAAACTAACGATTTTAAATTGACTCACCACTTTAGTAGTCTATTGGTCCCAAGCAAACGATTAACGTACCCTATTCTAGTCGAAATTCTAGTACTACGCAATGTTTGTTTTGATTCGCTATGAAAGTTTGACAGATAAAATCTGTCTCTAGTATAGATTGGGAGGAATCCGGCCTACCTTCTTCAATGGTGTTGAATGGAGCAGTTGCTTCCCCTCCTCAGCAGATCTGTCGCTTGTTTTCTGAGAAGTTCGCCAGTGTTTTCACGAATGAGAGATTAACTGACGAACACGTTACCCTAGCAGCTAGTAATGTTCCACTGTACGGTCAAACACTGGGTGCGATGGATGTCAACGTCGAGATGATTTCCACTGCCGCATCACAGCTCAAGTCGTCCTTCAATCCAGGACCCGACGGCGTTCCATCCGTATTCCTGAAAAAGCATATCACCAGCTTGCTGATGCCCATGCTTCACCTATTACGATTGTCCATCTCGAGTGGTACATTTCCATCTTGTTGGAAATTCGCACATATGTTTCCTATCCACAAAAAGGGCAGCAAACGGGATGTGGACAATTATCGTGGAATTACGTCGTTGAGTGCAGTTTCGAAGTTATTCGAGCTAGTTATCATGGAGCCTCTACTCTCTCATTGTAAGCAGTATCTAAGTGGCTTCACTTCCGGTCGTTCTACTTCCACAAATCTGATGTGTTTGACATCGTATCTTACGGAAAGCATGGCAGACAGGACTCAAACAGACGTCATATACACCGACTTGTCAGCTGCCTTCGATAAGCTAAACCATGCCATCGCGATTGCCAAGTTGCATAGACTTGGGGTCAGCGGCAACCTCTTGCGATGGTTTCGTTCATATCTCACTGATCGGCAACTGATGGTTGCCATTGGTGACAACCGGTTCAATATCTATCTATTTATCTACGTCAAAAATACCTAAAGGAAGTCACCTGGGACCTTTGATTTTCTTACTCTACTTCAATTACGTGAACTTTGTCATCGAAGACCCACGACTATCGCATGCAGACGATCTTAAAATCTACCTACGAATCCGCTCGATTGATGACTGTCACTTCCTTCAACGTCAGTTCGAAGCCTTTGCCAGCTGGTGTAATTTGAACCGAATGGTGGTTAACCCCACTAAGTGTTCAGTGATCACTTTTACTCGGAAGAAAGAACCAATCACATTTGAATACAAACTTATCGGCACTGTAATCGACCGTGTGAACCATGTGAAAGATCTGGATTCTAAACTTACGTACAAGTAGCACATCTCGTACTTTGTCGATAAGGCGTCTAGGACACTGGGATTTATCTTCAGGATAGCAAAGAATTTCTCCGATATCTACTGTTTGAAGTCACTGTACTGTTCCTTGGTGCGATCTATTCTGGAATATTGTTCTGTGGTCTGGAGTCCAAACTACAACAATGGTGCTGAGAGAGTTGAGTCCGTTCAACGCCGTTTTCTTCGATTCGCTCTGCGGAAGCTGCCTTGGAGAGACCCATTTCATCTGCCCAGCTATGAAAGTCGTTGCCAGCTGATTGATCTGGAGGCTCTCCGAACTAGAATTGATTGCAGTGCAATCTTGGTGCAAGTCAACATTAACGTCCAACCCCGTGCGCTACGTAGCAACGTTATGCTGAGATTGCCACTTCAGCGCACAAACTATGGCATGAACGGTGCAATAGGTGGGCTGCAACGAGTGTTCAATCGAGTCTCGGGCATCTTCGATTTCCATATGCCTCGACAGCTGCTACGAAGATACTTCTCGTCGTTCTTTTCTGGCACAGTTAACCGTGAATGATTGTGTGTTTTATTTATGTATTTTATTCTTAGTTTTTATTTTTTGACTTACCTATATCAGTTACTTAAATCATCACTGGGGCTATACACAGCAGACAAATAAATAAATAAATAAATAAATAAACGTCAAACGCTGCATGCAAAAAAAAATAGTTTGCATCGAATAAGTCGATTCTTTTACATTTGTTACTTAGTTACGCGAGAATTTTGTGAAATTTCATGGAACTAGGAGGGGAAATATAAGATCGATTCGTTAGTTGGTGTAGAACTGCTCATTTGCAGTTACAGTTGCATCTTGGGTAAGATAGGGTAAGACGGCAATCATCAGCATAAAGAACAATTTAACCAAAACTGTGCAAAATGTCAGCTATAAATTAAGATAATAGTAATATATTGCCATTCCATAGCAAAACGATGTGGTGGTTCTCAGAATTTCACAAAATATCTGACCGATTTTTTCTATGTTGTAATTAGGAAGACCATTTCTATGTTAGGGTGGTCCAAAAAATCAATTTATTTAAAAATGTACTTTCTTGAAAAATTCATAACATCTGAACCACTGAACCGATTTAAAAGATCAAAATATCAAATGAAAGTTAACTTAAAATATAATAAAACAAATAAAAAATAACTTTTTATTAAAAAGCATTGATTGTATTTGTTTTTTTTTATAGTTTTCATGGTTTATAGACAGAGGGCGCAATATGTTTTATATTTTTCCTTGAAAATTTAGGCTTTTCTACACTAAATTTAACAAAAAAAAAACGTTTTTGTGTTATATATATTTTTTTGAAGTTATCAAGTTTTGGGATTTCACCCAATACTCCTATGCGACTAGACTACCATGTTACAGTCGCTATAAATCAATGGAGACGCATTGAATTGGTGTGACGTCTAGATACCAGAAATCTATATTCGACACCATTTTGAGATCCAATATGGCGGCTCCGTTTTAAGAAAAAGTAGGATATAACGATAAATACCCATTAATATAGGTATTGCTGGAATTGGGATGATGTCTAGAGGCCAAGCTTGCAAATATTCATTTCAGCTAAAATAATGTTTTTCGGAATAATAAAACCAAAAGATGGTATGATGGCATGTTTTACTTGTAACTTAAGTATGCGTTTGAAACATAAAACCTGTAAATTTTGCTTTCTTTGAGTCACAATCAGCGATTTGCGAATCGCTGAGTGAGTGAGTGAGTGAGTGTGTGAAAAATCGCTAATTGTGACTCTCATGAAGTAAAATAAACAGGTTTAATATGTCAAACACATTCTTTGCAACCTCTTCTTGTATCCTACCAATTCAAAATATGATCATGGCATCTAATTATGCCATGATTAAAAAAAAATGTTTTGACTGAAATGAGTATTTGAAACCTTGCTAGAGGCTATATAATAATTTTTTTTTTAATGTGATTTTTCTTTTGTTGGAAAAAGTTTTTGAACGAGGCAATGAATCACTAACGTGTGCCCTTTCTACCACCGCTCGTCACTTTAATGTGTGCACAGGCAACAAAAAGCATATGTATCAATCAATGCTACTCATAATGATGGATTATAACTGATAATGTCGTGTTCAGACTACAGTGTTATCACATGTTACAAGGGTGTTATAATAATTATCAACAAGTAAACGTCATCAACATAGCCTTGTAACAAACACACAAGAAGTGGAATAACCAATGTACAGCTGTTTGGATGTAATATTCATCAACTCTGTATTCGTTTGATTACTAAGTGGTATGAGTCTCCAGTGGGATGCCTTGACCATCATTTTCAAGATCTGACATCTACTAAATTGACCTGAAAAAGAACTGGCATCACTGACAAGTTCGAAATAAGGTGGCTTGCTTAACGCTTCAGTGGCGTCATCAAGGCAAAGGCGAGCACATTCCCTACTAAAACCTTATTTGCGAAGGTGTGTTATGTCTGTTTGTCTTTTTGCAATATACAGTATCCCACCTCCCGCTAACCCAGCTCTCGTTAATCTGACAATTTTATAATCCAATATCATGGTCTCTTACGGAGCTTCTCTTCTTGCAAATTTGCTGATCAGCTGTATTATTCAACAAAACATCAACTCAATTCAACAGAAAAATCTATTTAACTCGCACTGTTGTGAGTGATCTTCCATGGCAGATTATTGAATAACAAACCTTTAAACAACAACAACAACAACAAACACCATCCACAGACGGTTCACAATCACACAGATAAGCCCAAACCGGCTTCCCCATTCACCCCATTATACTTGTTTACACTCATTCGCATGCCGACCCACTTGGATTCAACTAGACATACACAATTTAGCTTGAACGTACTTATCTCAGTGCGCCGAACGAGCTTGTCTCGAACAGTTCAGCACCGGCATGGCTGTGACTGAAGTACTTCTTCTCGCTGCAATCATTTTGACAATCCTATCTCTATTAGTCAAGCATCGGTACGGTTTTTGGCAGCGCCATGGTGCCCTATATCTGCAACCCGAATTCCCGTTCGGCAATTTCAAGGAAATGGGTAAAACCATACACCCGGCTTTCCTAACGCAACGGATCTACAACCAATTCAAGCGCAAGGGACCATTTGTTGGATTGTACATATTCCTGAATCCGGTAATGCTGGTGACCGACTTGCACTTGGCCAAGAAAATCCTGATCAAGGACTTCAACTGCTTCCCGAACCGTGGTGTGTATTTCAACGAGAAGGACGACCCCCTTTCGTCGCACCTGTTTTCGTTGGAGGGTAGCAGATGGAGAGATTTGCGAGCCAAAATCACACCCACGTTCAGCACTGGACGGATCCGGATGGCATTCCCGGCGGTGCTGGAAGTTGCGGGTAGGTTCATTGATTACCTGGAAGTGAATTGTGTCGGGTTGGATGCGACCGAAATTCGGGATTCGATGGCACGCTTTACGACCGATGTGATTGGAAGATGTGCGTTCGGGTTGGAGTGCAATAGTTTCCGCGATCCGGAAAATGAGTTCCGGAGGATTGGTAGGAAGCATTTTGATACTCCGAGGAATCATCCATTGAAGGTGTTTATCATGAAGACGTTCCGAGGTTTGGCGAACTCTATGGGGATGAAGCAGATTCATGATGATGTGTCGGAATTTTTCAGTGGAGTTGTTAGAGAAACGATCGAGCACAGAGAGAGGGAGGGCGTTTCCAGGGGTGATTTTCTGGATTTATTAATCAAGTTGAAGAATACGGGAAGGTTGGAAGATTCCGGCGAAGATATTGGACAGTTGACCTTCGACGAAATTGCCGCTCAGGCATTCATATTCTTCACAGCTGGGTTCGAGACCACTTCGAGTACATTAACGTATACGCTTTACGAGCTGGCGAGAAACCAAGCTATTCAGGAGGTAGCCAGAGAGGATGTTGAAAAAGTTTTGAAGAAGTTTGATGGATCCTACAGCTATGAATGCTTTCAAAGTATGACCTATCTCGATCAGTGTATTAACGGTAAGATTTAGTTAAATTAAGCTTGTCAATGAATAACCTCTCAATTTCAGAAACTCTTCGCAAATACCCTCCGGTTGTGAACTTGGAACGGGTGGTAGACAGAGACTACATGCTCGAAGAATCCGGAATCATTCTACCTCAGGGGATGAAGATCATGATTCCGGCCTACGCCATCCATCATGACCCTGATGTCTATGCGAATCCAAGCCAATATGACCCGGATCGATTTTGTCCGGAGCAAGCTGGCAACAGAGATCCCTGTTCGTTCCTGCCGTTTGGAGAAGGACCTAGAATATGCATCGGTTTGCGTTTCGGAATGCTACAGGCTCGAGTGGGACTTGCAATGATCTTGAAGAACTTTCGAATACTGCCGTGCAGCAAGACTGAGGATCCCATCATCTTCTCTGAACGCGCATTTGTTCTCACTCCGATCAACGGGATGTGGCTCAAGTTAGAGAAATTGCACTGATACTGTTTTAAGTTAAGTTTTATTAGAGTATCTATCACTGAAATACATAACATTTTCAGGAACTACAGTTTTTCTACCTTCAACCAAAGCCCTTGCTCCGGCGAAAGGATGAAGCTTTTCGCTGTGAAATCTAACGGTACGGTTGACTTTTGTCCACTGGTGAATCGGAAGCTCTTCAACAGCAAGGCCAACCCGATTCGGGCTTGCATCAGGCCAAATCTCATGCCAACGCAGATCCTTGGACCTTCTCCGAATGGAGTCCAAGCGTACGGATGTCGCTTGCTGATCTCTTCCGGTGTGAACCTATTGGGGTCGAACTTCTCTGGATCTGGGAAAATTTCCGGATCGTGGTGAACAGCGTAGACTGGGATCATCACTGATGTCCCTGCCGGAAGAATCGTTTCTGTGTTGGGAACTTTGTAATCTTTGGTCACGATGCGAAAGTGTACCGGGACCGGGGGGTACTTCCGGAGGGTTTCTAAAATATTGAAAGATACGTTATTTGGGGAATTCAAACAAATCACTTCGCACGCAGTTTACTCACCTTGCAAAATTTGATCAATGTAGGTCATTTCCATAATTGCTTCGTAGCTCAGCTCTCCATTATGTTTATTCAGAACATCCTGAACACATTTTCGTCCCTTCTCCTGAATATCCTGGTTAACAGACAATTCGTACAATGCCCAAGTCATAGTGGTGGACGATGTCTCAAATCCCGCCACAAAGAACACGAATGCCTGAGCAGCTACCTCATTGAATGTCAACGGTCCAAGTTCCACATTAGATCCCGTCAGCATTCCAATCAACAAATCTATGAAGTCATTCCTTCGCACATCATTCTTCACCCGATAGTCGATAGTCTCTCGAACCACTCCCAGAAAGAAATCCGACAACTCCGGTACAATCTGCCTCAATCCTAAAAACCGGGCTAACCCCGGAGCAACCGAACACAGTATATCCTTCTTCCTATTCCTAGGCGCTTCGAAGTGCATCCGTCCCATCTGCCGGAACTGCGCGTCCGGATTGGTCATAGAATTGCACTCGATCCCGAAAGCACACATTCCTATAACATCGGTCGTAAACCGAGCCAGCAAATCCTTCAGTTCCAATTCGTTTTCCTTTCCGACTTTCTCCTCCATGTAGTCGCTGAATTGCTTCCCGGCAGCGATCATCGTCGGGTACATTATCTTCATCTTCCCCGAGGTAAACGTCGGCGAAATCTTCATCCGCAAATTGCGCCACTTATTGCCTTCCAGATTGAACAGATGCGCCGACAGGGGATCATCCTTCTCGTTGTAGTACGTACCGCGATCGTGAAAGTACTGGAAATCCTTCACAAAGATGCACTTCAGCAGCTCCAAATCGATGGCCAAGGCAACCGGTTTGGTGAAGAGGTACATTCCGACAAAGGGGTACTGTCCTTTGAATTTTTTGTAGTATTCTTGAAATTTGCGAGCCATGTGAGTTGAAGGGTCCACATTCTTCCGGAAGTTGACCGGGTTGTGCGGGACGTTAAGATCAGACCAAAAGGTTAGCTGTTTGCGTAGTCGGTACAGACCGTACCCGACGAGGAGTGCGATTGCAGTTATCAGCAAGGAGATGTCCATCGCTGCTGGTGGTTAGGCTGTAACTGGCAAAGAAATCATTGCTTGTTGGCATTTATTTGATTTATTGAATGAGGTTTATCAAATGAAAACAAGATAAGATATTGCGTTGGGAGGTTTGGGTTTGTATGAGAAACATGTGATGGTAACATGTATAAGAAACATATGAGCTATGCATAGCGCTGGAAGAAGGTGTGAACGTTTTATTTTGAGAAAGATGCTGAATAATGCTTAAGATTAGAATGAGCGATTCAAATGTAATTTAGCCAACTTTGTCAAACTCAGTGACTCATGGTATCATATATGTTGAATGTCCCAAGGCACTTAGAGGCCGTTAAGTCAAGAAGCAATCAATTGATGATTGGTTGAGAGGTGGTGTAGGGACAACATATGGCTGACATGGGAAATCTATACCAGGTTTATAATGTAAAGAGGATCGAACTTATTTTGATTTTGATAATAATAGCTCTGCTAGTCTTCACCAGCTCAAATTTGTCAACAGCTGTTTAGGTTGTCCATATTTGTTTTAATATTGGGTTATTTGGGTTATCGAAAAAAACAGGAATTAATCAGTTTATTTTTCTCTCAAATATTATCAGCTCCAAGCACAATCCCAAAACTAAACCTAAACTCAGGACAAAAGATAAATTTCTGCTCAAAGCACGCTTCTGACCAGTGCCCCACAAAGTCACTTTCAATCGAAAATCATCAAGTGACGATGAAGCTGTAAACCATCACTTTCAATTGAAAGTCATTCTGTCTTCTCTCCGAGCAGATCCCCGTCAACATCAACAGAACCACTTTCGATCAGTTTTCATGCTGTTTGTTTTGGCTTGAATCGTGCTCATTTCTTCTTTCATTGTCAAATGAACTTACTTTTGCATTGAAGCGAAGCTGTTCGTTCCAAATTCGCGCAGTTTTTATGACTTTTGATTATTGTCCAATCGGTTCATTTAATCGTATGTGCGCATAGATCTGTGCACGTGGATGTCAAATTTATCATTATCAGGTGGTTTGTTTACCCATCAGTATGGCTATTTTTTTTAATCGGGGGTCTAGAGATCGCAAATTGATATGCGACGCCATTTTTCAATCCAAGATGGTGGCTTCCAGTTAAGCAAAAATTGGAAAATACTGTCAAATACCAATCAATCAAAGTCTTTTTGGAATCTGGATGATCTCTAGAGGATGAAAATCCATATCCGACGCCATTTTGAAATCGTAGATGGTGGCTTCCGATTTAAGAAAAAGTGGAAATACAGACAAATACACATCAATATTGACATTTTTGTAATCAGTATGTCTACAGATCGAAAATTGATATGCCATTTTGAAATCCAAGATGGCTTCCTATTTCAAAACAAATGGGAAATATTTCCAAATACCCATCAATAAAGGTATTTTTGGAATCGGGATGGCGCCTAGAGGCCGAAAATCGATATCCGACGTCATTTTGAAATCCAAAACGAGGACTTACGATTTGCGAAAAAGTATCAAATACCCTAAAATATGGTTATTTTCAGAATGGGGATGAGACGTAGATGCCAAAAATTGATGTCACACCGTCTTTAAATCCAAGATGGCGGCTTTGGTTCAGGGAAACTGTGAAATACTGTCAAATACCGATCAATGTTGGTTTTTTGGAATCGGGTGACATCTAGAAACCTGAAATCGATGTCCAACGCCATCTTGAAATTCAAAATGGTGGTTTTCGATTCCAGAAGAAGTGTCAAATGGTCTGCGAATGGCATCGAATATCGATTTTCAGCATCTACACGTCGTGGGAATCGGAAAGGTCCCCGTTCCGAAAAATACCCTGATATTAGGGTATTTAACACCTTTATGAAACTTGATGGCCGCCATATTGGATGCCAAAATGGCATCGGATATCGATTTTCGGCATCTACACGTTGTCCCCGTTCCGAAAATACCCATATCTTAGGGTATTTGACACGTTTTATGAAACTTGATGGCCACCATCTTGGATTCCAAAATGGCGTCGAATATCAATTTTTGACATCTGCGCTTTGTTCCCGTTCCTAAAATATCCATACTTAGGGTATTTACACTTCCGAAAACCAATTGTCACTGTTTTAAATTCCAAAATGGCGTCGGGTATCGATTTTTAGCATCTACGTGCCATCCGTTCTGAAAACATCGAGAAAAATATTCTATTGACTGCAGGGAATTTGACACTTTTTCTGAAACCCGATGGCCGACATTTTGGAATCGAGAATGGCGTCGGATATCGATTTTCATCACCTTCGCGTCGTCCCCGTTTTGAAAATACCCGTATTGTAGGGTATTTGAGACTTTTCCTGACCCCGATGGCTACCATCTTGGACTCCAGAATGGCCTTGTTGATTTAATTTTCGTTTAACATAAAATAATATATTATTACTACATATAATCCGTATGCCATCCCTATTGACAACCGAAATTGTGCGGATACTATATTTTTATGCTTGACGACGCGATGCGTGACAAGTCAAATGAGAATAATTGAAGTGAAAGTGGAAAAAAAACGAAGGAAGCAGTTTTCGAGTCATTCATTGCGTCAATTGAAACAATTCTTTGTTTCAAATGAAATGAACTGAAGCACTTGACGAACGAAACAAGCGATAGACAAGTCATGTTTGAAAGCAGGAATGTTCATCGAGGCTCGATAACAACAAACACAATGACTTACACGAAAATGATATTGCTCGAAATGAAGCGATTCTGTGGAGAGTTCATTTTCTTTTCTTTGTTTCGAAAATGCATAGCCCTGCTACTGACATCTGTTCACGGGGTAAAAGATGAACTAGCATATGGATAAAAATCTCTTAAATAAAGACCAAAAAATCTGTTCACGGCGAATGAGATCAACCCAAATTTGAGTTTAGTTCACTCATAATCGCCAAAAGTGCAGGAACTCAACGGTGAGTAAATTTGCCTCATGTTTTCCCAGGTTTTTTCCAGGATTTTCCAGGGAAAAATTCCCAAATTTGAGAAAAGTAAAAATTGGATTCACTCAGTCTATTGGTACTACTCCGAGACTGAATACAATTTTCGTCAATTTCCTCATTTTCCGGCAGATTTTTAGGTTTTCCACAGGAAACCATGAGACAAATTTACTCATCGCTCAGTTCCTGCACTTTTGGCGACTATGAGTGAACTAAACTCAAATATGGGTCGTTCTCATTCACCGTGTACATTTACTCCTCTTATAAAAGCTGCGTTCCAAATAAATAAATTTGTGCGATACTTCCATCACAAAAATTGCGGAAACTTTTAAGGAGAAGAGCTTCCAGGAGGATTTGAATACTTCAGGATATTCTATCGGATCTATTCTATCAAGAACGTCCGTTAGTTCCGATAGCAATATGGTCCCATTAGTGTTTCCATTTCCCGACCATTTTTGGCTTCCCGGAAAAAGAGGAAACAGCTGATGGCGGAAATTCCCATGCTTAGTCTCTGATATGACTACGTTGGTTATGACGAGAGGAGCAACACAATAATTGGGTAAAGAAGAATTGCATTATCACACACCATCTACTGGAAATGCTTGAAGTCTCCTCATCCATTCATGTATGAGTTAGGTAAAGGAGTGTGCGTTTGACTAGTACTGCCACATTAATGGCCCTTCACTCATTTTCAACTTATATTCAATTTTCACACTGCCGTACTCTAGTGGAACTATCAATCTACCCTCTTCAGAACTTTCTCTAGCTAATACATTATCCCACTATAAAGCTTCATGTTCATATTAGATAGCATTTCTAACCAAGTAAGTTTCCATTTAATTCTTTTTAACTACTCCAGAAATTATTTTGACCGTAAGTTTCTCCCGATTTCCTTGTTAAGTCTGTTTGGCTTCGCATTGAAATGTCTTCTGAAATTCTTGGAAGTTTTTCTTGGACTTCTCCAGAAGTTTCCTATTGTTTTACTTAGAATATTTCTCTGGGTTCGTATAGAGTATTCTTCCGTTTTCCTTTAGAAGATCATTAGACTTCCTCTGGACATTTCTGAAAACTTTCTCCTTAGTTTTTATTACTGCTCTTCTGGGAAAATTCTTATATTTTTCACCCAATAATGCTTCTAAAGTTGTTTCTCGGGAATCGCGAAACGTGATTTTTTGTAAATTTCCCAGGAAAGGTTTCCCTGGATGTCCCGAGAAGGAAACACAAGGTTCCATAGATTTCACAAAAAAAAAAATCACTTCATTGAGTTTCAGGACAGTTCCTTTAACTTCAGGAAGATTGCAAAAACATTACAGTTGTTGCCATAATTTTAGTAATAAGTTTAAAGATCTTTAGGGAAGCAACGTGAACTTCGGGGCGGTTCAGGAAAATAGCGAAAAGTTCAGGAAAGTACCGAGAACTACAAGTAGATTACTAGGACTTCAGTTTGATTAATTTCAGGAGAAGAAGTTCCGAAATTTAAATTATAGGGTTAACTACCCCATTTCTGGCCTATTAAGCACAACCCACACTTAGTCTTTCTTAATCTAGCGCAGTTTAGCACCAAACGGAATGTTATTATTACTGATGACTTCCAAATTTATTTACCTTTCCGTACGTACCTTAAGATTTGATAAAAAGAAACCAATCGTTGAGATATTGTCAAAAGTCACTACTTCTTGACGCCAAACTCGGCCTACGGCTTCTAAACTCGGCCTAACGCATTGAAACGCCATTGAAACGCCAATGAATTCACTTCGGCCTATCGGATGAAGATACAAATTGATTCGGTCGGAGCGCTTCTTTTGTTTTTGGGAATAATGGGTGCAAACCTTCATATCACGCGTTCTCATTGACTTCGTTGGTAGCTTATAAACTAAAGTATCGTTTCAAATGCATAATTGACATGTTAACTCTGAAATTATGGATTTATTTGAAGTTTTCTGCTCGATAGGCCCAAAATGGGCAATTAGACCGAAGTAGTTCTCTACCCTAAACCATAATAATTCAGGGAAGTTTAGTGAACGTTAGGAAAATTCAGAAATTTCAGAAATTTCACCAAAATTCACCAAAGAACTTCACGGAAGTC